GCGCCCGCAACAAGATCTGCGAGTGGCCGGGCTGTGAGGCCGCCTTCAAGGACATGAGTGCACTCAATGTGCACCGGACTATACATCTGGGACTCCGGGACTGTGTTTGCGAATATCCCGAATGCGGGAAAGCCTTCCGTACAAAGGGAGCCCTTACTGTACACTACGAGACACACAAACCCGTGAAGAAGTATGCGTGCAGTTGGTCCGCATGTGAGCAGTCATTCTCTACCAGGAGTTCATTGAAGGCTCACCTCAACAAACATGAGGGCAACCGAGCATTCAAGTGTCCATTTGATGACTGCCAAGTGGCCTACTATGGGCCCAACTATCTTAGAAAGCATTACCAGAAAGTGCACCACAAGACTATGGATCAGGTGAAGCAAATGATGGCCAACACTGACGCCAATGCGTAATCGCTTCTAATGTTATATTAATTAATTATACCATATATTTACTTTATTTTAATGAACTTTACAATCAAATGAATTAATTTGTACACTAATATAAATTAAACATTTACCGGTAATACAATACAATTTTAGTTTATATTTGCATTCAAATTGTCTCATAAGGCGAAATGAATGGCTTTATGTGTTTCGAGACTTTTATTAGTCTTGAAAGTGGTGTCACATCCGGGCCACTCGCACACAAACTTGTGCCCCATATGTACGCCATTAGTATGTCTGCGGAGCTCCTGTCTTGTGGTAAATCGTTTGTCGCAGTCCTCATGAGTACAGGCGTACGGCTTAACACCGGTGTGTCTTCGCAAGTGTTCATTCAAATGCTTTTTATGTCGCGTCTTATAGTCGCAGCCCTTGTAATCGCATTGGTATTGATTCGAGTGCTTCTCAATCACATGTGAATTGATCTCTTTCTGTGACACAAACTCATTGTCGCACTTCTGACACACAAACAGACCGTTGCGGTTGTGGACGCACTTCAAGTGCTCTTTAGTCTTGTCTTTGGAAACGCTGACAAACTGACAGTCACTCCAATTGCATCGATAGCCCAGTGTTTGCCCGCAATTGTCATTCAACTGAACCACTGTTTATGAGACAATTAGACAATAATTCAATCGATAATTAAATCTTAAGCCAAACCTAATATCAATCCATTCTTGGGATCTCTTTTAGTGATGATGAGTCCGTCCTCTTCGAGCAGATAATCGCTTTCAGACAAGAACTTCATGTTTGTTACCATTTGTCGCTCACTATTATCATCATCAGATCCATTGTCTGACTCATCATTAACTGATGTCTTCTGTCTCTTATTCTTAGAGCTATTCCTCAGAATCCGTCGTTTAGTGTCTGGACTCGAGCCGACCTCCACTTCGGTGTCATTCGAGACACTCTTCTTCATAATGTCTTCGAGTGGTATTATCTGAGTGTTGATCTCATGCTGAATGGACTCGTATTGTCTCTCCATGTCTTGTATCATCTCTTTGTGGCCATCAGTCTGTTGTCTGCAGACACACAATGCGTTCAAATCCATCAAACATTGTCTGTATTTAGCCATCAATTCAATGCATTTTTGTGACACAATTACTGCAGACATGAGTCTCTGGTTCTCATCACTCAACTCATGGAACAGATCATTGATCACCACTTTAGCCATCGTTTAATCACTTATTCTTCTAAGTTAAGACACCATTTAATTTACTGTTAACTCAAATGAATTTAATTAAAATAACATTTACTTTGAAATGTCATACGTTTTCAAAACTAATGTTTACTTTTGCAGTACAGGTATAACAAAACATTCACATAAACTGTGACTTAAATACCTTATTTTAAAACCCTTGCTGTCAATCAAATGGCAAATTAATTGCAAATACACTCACCTTTTCTGTACGTTATATCACAATAATTCAAATCAAAAAACTTTTTACAAAACTTTTAAATGAATTTATTTGGACTTATTATCAAAGTTTTTAATGTCATAATAGACTGAAATTTATAGTAAATCTACTTTTAAAAGCACTTCAAAAGACAATATTATATTTAATTGAAAAGTTTTACAAATGTATCAAAAAATATGCAAAAAACACACAAAAGTAAATCATAAATGCATTCAATTGTATGTTAGATCCACTGTTCAGGTAACTAAAGCGACTCTTGGGGTGACTTTCGGTAAAATCTGAGGACTCAAAGCCATGTCTTTCGGACACTTTATCCATCACTTGTCGCAGATCATCGAGCGCTTCCACCGCCTTATCCTTATCTCCATTCATACCATTCATCAAACTGTTCGTCACTTTCATTTGATTCAGAATTTCGTTAAACGATTGCTTAAAGTCCGAAGACTTGCCGGAAGTGGTGTTCACCGGAGTGTTGGATGCCTTACCACCAGAAGCTATAATCTTAATTAAGTCTCTGTTCTCAGCACTCATTCTCTCGTTGTCTTTCTTCAAGAACATGAGCTCTTGTGTCACCACTTTGTCCTCCAATGCCTTCATCTCACTCATCGTTTTCATCTGTTTCTGGAGGTCTTTGAAATCGGTGTCAATCTTCTGCATCGCGGCCACCGATGTTGCCAACTGTTGCCTCAACTCTTGCATCTCATTATCATTACTTGCAATCGTATTCACCAAACATTGTGTCCGTACGCCCCACACGTACACCACTAACAGGCATATAGTTATGCACTGAATGACCAGTAAAACCAATAGTATTGGATTCACGCGTTGTTTCAGTTTTGCGGTCCGACTGTCAGTCCCATCACCAGTACTGCCAGTATTGAACATCTTCTCCATTTGTGGGTACAATTTGTTTGCCATAAAAAGTATTAATAGTTTTATTTATCAATTTATCATTTATTATGAATGCATGTGCTTTAGTGTATTACAAGTTGTCACTACGGCAAAAAAAACTAGTTTATCAATAATTGATTATTATCAAAACTTGTAACATTGAATCGAGGTGTCAGGCAGATTTTATAAACTAGCTACTTTGGATTCATCAAGGAATGTCCTTTCACATTCAATTCAATCAAAAGTGCCCTGCCCCTAATTGCTTACTTGTTGTCTAAGACCACTGGTTCCGCGAAGTTTTTTTCAACTTTGATCCAGATGCTTTTCTAAGACATACAAACTTGCGTTACATAACTCTTACTGTGAGGCCATCTATGAGTTGCACTCACATCTCAGTACCTCTTCAGCTGTTTCGCTGATGCAATACTTGCCATCAGTTCACTCATCAGTGATGATCACATCTTAACCACAATTATTGTTTAGTGTCTCAAGAATTTAAGTTTTCCATTCACTCCATGTGTCAGTCATTGTGTCAATTCGTGTCTTAATGTCCATCAAAGTCGGTGATAACAAACTGTTGACAATGAGTGACCACAAGAAGTCTGACCTCAACCTAACACCCGTCCAGCGGCTGATGAGCTCATGTATGGGCGCCACAGTCACCGCACTCTGCAGTCAGTTATCTCAGCAATGGTTCACTCCATTGACACTTCAATCCATGTCTTCATTTAATCCAATTATTGTGTCCAACGATTAGCCACTCCTTTGGATGTCGTGAAGACTCGACTTCAGGCGCAACAGAAGGACTCGTTGACCGCAAACAGCGGCCAAAAGGTGGGCGCCGGTAGGCATGCGGTTAAGGGATCGGCAGTTGTGGCCAATCGACTGAACGGACACTTCGGAGAGACGTTTGTTTGTATTGATTGTCACCAAACAGTCTAAAAGTTTTAAGTGACAAATGAATCGCTTTTATAGGAAATGTTTGTCAAAATTAGTCGAACCGAAGGCCTCACCTCTTTATGGAGTGGACTCCCGGCCACACTGTCTGTCCATTTCATGATTACTATAGTTATTGCAAAATACAGTTAACTCTCGCTATAAGTGTGTGAATGTATGTCACATTTAATGCCGTAAATGCTATGCTATGCATTTATCGCTATATCGAGAGTAGACTGTATTCGAGATAATTGTTTGTCAAGTGTTTTAACCGTCAAATGCATACCTCTTAGAGTGATGGCAGTGCCGGCGACTGCACTATATTTCGCAGTTTACGATGAGTTACGCGAATCCCTTAACCGGAGCCTACAGTTAGCCCATCAGCCCGTATGGGTACCCGTCCTTTGCGGAGGAGTGGCCCGCACTCTGACCGCCATAACCGTCAGTCCCATCGAAATGATTAGAACTAAATTGCAGTCAAAACACATGACATACAGACAAGTGGGTCGAGCGCTGGACACTCTGGTGCGGACTCAGGGCTATCAGTCCCTATGGCGTGGTCTGAGTGCCACCATTCTGAGGGTCGTTCCCTTTTCGTGCATATATTGGGCTAACTATGAGTTCCTGAAGTCGCGATTCAATGACACATTACAGCCCACATTTATGGTGAGCTTTCTGTGCGGTGCCGGCGCTGGAACTGTAGCCTCAGTGGCGACCATTCCCTTCGATGTCGTCAAAACGCACCGACAGATCGATTGGAGTGATTCACGCCCTCAACGAGTTTATCATATTTTGCGACAAATATACCGAAATCAGGGCTTCAAAGGACTGTTTGCTGGTGTCGTTCCTCGTGTTATTAGAGAAGCGCCGGCATCTGCTATAATGATCAGTGTATACGAAGTTTCCAAAAATTATTTTAGACAACAAAATGCATTAAAAACTCAATCCATTTAATCCATCAATAGTTTAGTTTAGATTAAAGGACTTATAGTTTTTGTCTATTTATTAATCAATGTTTAATTGATTGTTTAAACACTTTGCAAACTAATATCAATACAAAATTGATTTTTATATCAAAATGAATTTTATTTACGAATCCTCTGCTCTATTATCTCACATCAGAGCTATGGTTATACCAGGAATGGGCGTCTACTTCACGTCCTACGACTTAATGCGGGTATACCTGAGCCAGAAGTTTGAGTGCGTGGACTCCCAGCCCGCGTGGATTCCCATATTGTCCGGTGGTTTGGCCCGAACTCTGGCCGCAGTTATCATAAGTCCAATAGAAATGATCAAAACTAAGATGCAATCCAAACACTTCTCGTACTCACAAGTGGGTCGTGCGGTCAGACATATGGTGCGCACACAGGGCTACGGCTCGCTGTGGACCGGCATTAACGCCACGATCCTCAGAGACGCCCCCTTTTCATCAGTCTATTGGTTAGTCTACGAGAAGATGAAGAGACAACTGAACGCACCGATAGAGCCGCCGGTGTCCGTGAGCTTCGTGTGCGGCGCCACCGCCGGAACGGTAGCCGCGCTGATCACCCATCCCTTCGATGTGGTCAAAACGCACCGTCAGATTGAGTTGGGAGAAGTGAGTCACAGCTCAAGACATCACTACAAGACTTCAGACATTTTAGCCAATATTTACCGACAGAATGGCTACAGAGGACTGTTTGCCGGTATATCCCCGCGTGTTATGCGTATCGCACCGGCATGTGCCATAATGATCACCACTTTTGAATGTGGAAAGGCTTACTTCAGACAGTATAATGACTCGAAATTAGGATAATTTGTTAATTAGGTTTAAAATTTTAATTATATATCATAATATTATATATTTTTAGAGCTATTTTTTATATAATAATTAAATTGTAATTTGTTATAAATCTTGTAATATTGAAAATTCTGAATTCAATTGAAGTAAACTATTAATTGCTAAATGAATATCAAAATAAATTCTTACCGGTAATTGAAATAATAATCTTGATAATCAAGTAAGTATGAAGTATCACAACATTTATAAGAGTATTTAAATCATCAACCTACCGTATTTATAATTTTAAAAAATTAAACACAAAATTATATTGCATTCATTTTATTTACTAACATAAATTGATTTACACTTTTTTTAAATAACTTAACAAACATTTAAATAAAAGTATTTATAATTTTGAGGTAAAACACACATAGAGGCCAAAACAAAACTCAGTTTTATTACCAGTACAATT